CCATCGCTGGTTTTTAAACAGGAGTGTGTGTAACGTTGTTAAAATATTAGGGGCTAAAACTTGACATGCATTGATCGTCCTAATTATATCCAACAATACTGTATTAAATGTTAGACACATTTTGATTGAATCCAATGTCAATCAAATCAGAATCAATTTAGTGACGTGGTGGGCTTGCTGGTCGCGATCAAACATCAACGGCTCTACCCCCAACTGATATCCTGATTGATATGTCAACATGGATGCCTGAATAATCTGTCAGCCAATCAGGATTGCTCTAGGAATGGGGTCGGCAACCTGCTACTTTTTCTCTTTTTTCGATGAAAAGTTGCGGCTCCCAAGTTCCATTTCCGAATATATTTTGTGATAAAAATATATATTTGTATATGAAATAAACGACTATTTTGTATTTATTATCGTTTATTTCAAATAGAATCTCAAATATAGTACGAATAATATTGAAACAAAATCTTTCAATGAATATTTAAATACCGTGAAATTTTTATTAGTTAACCTGTGTTTCATAAAAAAAAAAATTGATTTTGTATTTTAGCTCATCTGTCTCATCTCATTAGGTTGCTAACCCCCTGATCTAATATCGTTTAGGGCTTTTTCTTGATATATCAAATAGGGCTTTAGTTAGGTTCGCGAGAATATTTAAAAGACGACGTGAGGCATAGTAATCTCTGTTCATTCTGACTCGGAATGTACTTAAAATATTTTATAATTACATCGATTTCAGAAAACTATCTACTTTATGTTGGACCTATTACTTTATTAGTACTGAAGCTACGCGCGCTCTGGTGATTTTTTTCACCAACTTTTGTTACTGTCAGCGTGCTCCTATCATTTGTATCATCTAATTGTCACGTGTTCAGCGCGCGCACCACTGTACCGTAAGGATTCCCATGCATGGTGACATAAAGTTACTAGTTACTGGTGCACATGAAGCGTAATAGACAAAGAAACAGGATCGTGGACTTCAAATCGTTTACATGTCGTTTTAGTTTCAGAGTTTTGGTTAGGTCGCCAGTCGCCGGGCTACACCGGCCGTGGTCAGTTAAACTTTCGTTTACGGTCACGGGCTGATCACGGCCGGTGTAATCCGGACGAAACGTCGGGAAATATAGGTACGTGAAAAACATAACTATCAATCTATCGCGTTAATACGCGTTCCATACAATCTAATATAGAACCTTTTAATTCGTAAATAGTTATTTATATGTATGAAGACGATGTTTCTACGCAAAAGAAGCGAGAAGAGCTTAAGAAAAATGCTGATATATGCACGTAGATGCGTTTGATTCCCAAAAGGAGATAGCTATACTACTCGAGGCTACAACAAAAAAAAACAAAAAGCAAATTAAACCCGACGACAGCTAGGTTGTGCAAATCCATGGAGCCATCCACCTTCAGTCTCTCATCATCACTTGGCAAACTGCCTCTGAAAAAGCCCAACGAGTAATGAGGTTAGATAGCACCTGCTGTGTCAATTTACCAACCGTTACCGAGTTTTTAAATGGACAATTGTATAATTTCTGGCGTAAACATACTTTTTTTTAATTAAAGACAAAAAAAATGCATGATATAATTATTTCCAGGATCTATAACGCTAGTTTGGTTTAGATAAAAAGAATAAGAACATTCATAAATATTATTGATGCCATAAACTAGTGAGTTATGAATTTTGCCGCTATTTCATAACATCTATATAAATAAAAATGAATTTCCGTTCGTTAGTCTCGCTAAAACTCGAGAACGACTGATGTGGTTCAGCCGTTCTCTCAACACAATGTATCGCCGTAATAGTCCGTCAGGTAGAGTGTTAAAAAAATATTAAACACGTATTTTTTTATTTTTTCGTAATCATACAATTACTGCGTTACATGCAGTCGCATGATGTCACGTTATGGTACGTTTTCTACTAAACTGTGACGTAGCGAGCCCCCTCTCCTCAACTTTAATGCCTGTTATCTAAGCTATTTCTTGTTAAATTGAAGTAAAAAAAATACGTATCTAATATTTTTCTATTATCTGACTGACGGACTAAACAGAATTGCATTTTTTTACCCAGTCGTCATCCCTATTTCTTGATTACGCAAAAAAAATACGTATGTAATATTCTTAAATAATTTACCTCATGGAAAAAAAAGAAACAAAAATTAGTCGTCATCCCTTGTTCAATTCATGAACATATAATAGTTGTTAAGTAGTATATAATAACTTTAACTGGTATCACTTTTTATGTTTCGCCGTTGGCAACATTGCCATTTTTTCCTCTTCCCTATTTCTGGTAGCGCAATGAGTGTGCTAAACTTTGTATAAAATATTTAAAATTAATAATAAACGTTTTCTCTTAGAAAGGCTTGGTTAATTCCAACATCCCTATTTCGTCTATTTGATATTGGGAACAAAATCCTAATGTCAAAAAAGGGTATATAGTTCGCTCCGTTCATTCTTTTTTTTTTTTAATAATTATTTATTCATAACCATGGATACAAGTCCTTCAGCTGAATACATTTTATAAATTTAACATTTGTAGAATAGCTATATGCCTACATTATTATATATTTTCTATAGTATTACAAATGTATTTAAACAATGGAAAAAATAATCTGGATTTGCTAAGAAGTCTATTATGCTCCGTTCATTCAAACCGTTAGTGTTGTCACCCAGAAAAAAATTACCCATGTCAATGTACAGCGATAAAACGACTCATTGTGCTGGCAACAAATTGGCCAGTGGTTAAATTTGGCTATGGTTTAATTTGACATCAAAAAACGAAATAGCGAATTAACAACTTGTTAATGTTTTAACTATAGTCAAGTTAACAAATGGTTAAATGACATTTGACTACGGATCAAAAAACTGGCCCTTAACAACGGTGCCATAGTTACAATAACAATGTAAGCTCGACAACTGACAAATAAAGATTTCTCATCTGCAGTGATGTTAAAAAATACAACGTACAACCAATGATGTATTAAAAAGTTTAGGTTGGTTATCTGTGCACAACATTGGCGACAAGAAAGCAAGGCAATTGTCAAACTCATTAGAGCTTGTAGTCGTAAGTAAACCTTAATGGACGTTTGTGTAACTAAGTGTCATCATCATCGTCAGCCTATTAACGTCCCCACTGCTGGAGCTCAGGTCTTCCCTATAGATGGAATCAAATCGTATATTTAACGGGACATGACCCAATGCGGATTAGTGGGTATTGCAAACGGAACTAACGTACCTTCCGAAGAACGGAGGAGTTCGAGATAACAAGTTTTTGGTCACCCATCCTAAGACCGACCATTGCGAAAGTTACATAACAACCGTATCGCACACCGAACGCTCTACACATCATAATAATTGATATAGGATATTTGCTTTATATCATTGAGGATGTTCCTGACACCGAAAATTAATAAGCGACAAGACGATATCACGACCCCTGACAATGAGACAGATAAGGACAGACTATGATTAAGTATGGTATGACGTGGGTAAAGTGCCAAAAATGTTTTTAAATTATTCGCAAAATACAATATGGTTTGGCTACTTTTACCCTACCTACACCAAATATCAGAACCGCCTACTGATAGAGCAAAATTATATAGACTCTACAGTTCCACGGCGTGCTAATGCACACCCGATATCTTTCTCGCTTTAGCAAATGGCAGTTCCTAACAACAAAAAAGGATAGGATGCTGAGATGTATCTCAACCCTAAATATGTTAATCAATTTTCACAATGATAAAAGAATTAAATCGGATTATTATTTAAAATAAAATAAATAAATATCTTTTATAACAAAAGTGTCTTAGAGTTCTCGCGTTGTTATTTTATTTACTTTTTCAAAAATTTTAAATTGATTAAAACGCATTCTACTCCCTTAGAATAACATTATTTTAATTCATTTTTAAAAATTCAAAAAATTATACTCAATCTCCTCAATTTTAATAATATATACATACATTCACATATGCTATATAGAAATAAGATCATGGACGCATCTAACAGTAATATATTGTTGTGTCTTCATTAACATAAGTTCTTAAAGTGAATTCGTGACAAACTGTAAGTGCTTTTGTTTTACTAATAATGAGGGTAACTTAACATTTGTAAATAACAGGACAATGAAGTGAAACATTACAATTTAACGTCGTAAATTCAACTGCAAGTGTACAATATGTTAAAACTACCGACAATAAATAAATATATACAGTTCTAATTGGAAGATCTCTTTGAAAAACAGTGGACATGCATACGTGACACTACCTTATTAAATATTTACCTTAACATAATAAAACCTCCTTTTTGCCTTTTCCTTTGCTTCAGTTTTACAATACTAATACTTTATTGAAATATACAACTAGTAGAAAAAATTTCACGTAAAAGAGATTTCTTAAAAACATTCTTTCGTTAATTGGTTCAAATATTGGTCGTAAACTCCCACTATTTTTTAACAAATACAGAATTTAATGCGTCTATAAATATTATATGTCTACTAGTAGAATTTATGATTACCGATAAATAATATTACCTTTTTTGAAACTATCAATTAGTCATAAATATTCTTGCCTACTTTCCGACAAGGTAAAATTTTACTTAAACAAAGTCAAAGTAGTACATGTTCACTGATCGGGAGAACGAATAACGCAACTAATCATATATTAAATACATATATTTTAATATTTATAGATATGAAATAATGTACAAAAATAGACATGTACAGAAAGGAACACTTGAAAAACCATAAGACGTAAAAGTATGGAAGAAAATGTCTAAAATTGTGCCTATCTTACAAATGATATTAGAATCTTTCGATTAACGTAGAGATTGTCTCTGTGTTCAATCGAAAGCGCTCGACTCTCGATAAAGTTCTTTCTCTTTCTAACATAGCACATTCTTACCACTGTTCCTACCTTGACCCTGTTATGTAAACAATAAGTGTATCAAGAAGTTTTCTTCAAAGAAGAACTAGTGTTAGAATCAATATGAATGTTAGTTACCTGACTTCTCTCTTCTCGGCTTCTTCTTGAGATAGATCCTCTTCTACCGAGTAGTCCAGGATCGATTTAACCCCAAAGGACCGTAATCTGTTAACGATATATAAATATAAATAAAACAAAATAATTTGAAATGTGAATTTAAATCAATAAACAATTATCAAAAGCGTAAAAAATTCAAATTAAACAATACATTTGTTGTTAGATTAAACAAATCAGCCATGAAATACGTAACCCTAGTATGTAACTTATTTATGTGACAGCTGGAAAATTATGAGTTTTTCCTCTAAAAATCATAATAATAATATTATAATCATACTGTGTCCATTCCAGGCGTACAATAATTACTATTTTTAATTTATCTATTAGCCACTAGTCTAATCTTAGTTAAACCCAACAGAATTTCAATCTAAATTAAGTATTAGTCAGAAAGGACCTCTAGAAAATAGACCATTAATATAAAATAAGTATAAACCAACCTCTCAACAGTTGGCTTGATTTTGTTTTGGTCTTCGCCAGCAACGAACTGGCCGTAGAAAGTGGATTTCATGATGATCTCGAATAACCGCTTCCCTACCACTTGACGGAGTCTTTTCATCAACTGTAACATACATATTAAACGTAAATACCTTGAGGATTCATTGAATCAGCGGCGGTGCAACTGATAGCACCGCACTAGTTGCATGACAAACTCGAGAGACTCGGGGAACGGGGCCGAGATTGAGCTATACCCGTACAGTATCTCACTCACGCTTCCGCCCGTGTTTCGAATCTTTCGAGCTTTTAACACTAAAGAGGTGTCATCTACCAATAATGATGTCTCGCACAATATCTTTGTAAAGTGAGAAAGATCATTAATGTAAATATGAAAAAGCAATGTTCATAGTGATGGGTGCCCCTGCAGATTTTGTTTCATTAATCACAACTTTTTGAATCCTACCAAAAAGCTATGATTTTATTAGTATTCTGGGCCTTTTTTTTAATTTACATCAATGTCCTCCCAGACGTTACAAATTATCCGGATGAATCCCGAGAAGAAAACGAACTAATGGTTAATTTTACAAAAACAATTAAATTCATGTTTTAGAAATTACAATATCATTACAAATACGATGTAGTTTTGTCATATTTCAACTTGGATGTTATTTTTTTGAACAAAAGCTATTTAATTTTACCCATATTCAGTGGACGCACCCTCTTAATCTGTGTCCAATCCTGATTCGTCTGCTAGCTATTGGTCTGTCAGACTGAGAGATATTTCAGGTTTTCGCATATCAATCAGTTATTAATTCAGTAACTCTGTTGTGTCATATAGCTCAGTAAGCATATTCCAGGAGGCCACCATAAATTATAATAATATACCAGAAACATTTCTAGCTGGTGTGGGTAGTATCTGCAATCCATTAATAAAGTTTACTAAATATTATCATAACTTACAATCTTCCGATTTGTGCATCGATCCACGTCATTGGTTCGGCTATTGTATTATATATTTATTTAAATGGTTACCTGAAACTGATGTATACTCAGCTGACGATACCGGTAATTCTAAATGATTGTTCAAAATTCACTATATAAATGTCAGCGCTTGTCCTCGTTAGTCTATTAAAAACTAAATGCTACTTTAGTTAAATTTAAAATTAGTAATTTAAATTCGATTTGTAAAATCATTTTTTTATATTCTCATACAGACTTGGCGGTAAGAAGTTCGCCAGTTCAACTAGACAAAAATTTATTGTTTTTTTATTGTACCAGCCTATAAATATTCCCAACGCTCATGTAAAGAATCACACAACCATTTAAGTCGAATAATGCGTGCTAAGAGACTAAAGATGTTATCACGACCAATGGCTATTGCCTTCCGGTCCAGATTGCGAAACCTGAAATAATACTGTTCACCCATTCCGTGACCGGCCTTTACAAAAGTTGCTGAACATTCTCAATCACGGATCAAACGTGATAAAAACACTGCCCATCAAACCCCTCGAGTTTGCACTATACAGTTTTAATACAATCTTACAATTCATTTCACTAAAGAGATGGACGCCAACAATCACAAGTATTCATTGACGAAACGATCTCGACTCAAGAGGCACGTCACCTAATAGTAATTTCTTACATTTGCCGCAAGGTCACGGTCGCGTATTCAAATGCCAATTGTATAATAATTCCTAAATCAGCAGCCGGAGAAACGCAATCAACACTGTGTCGTGTTTCCAAATAATAAGTTACATAATAATTTACATAACTTCCCTAGACCTCTTTTTCTTATTATTATAGACATTTATTCTATATTTATACACAATAAACTAGATACCCGGATTCAATCAAATGAAATTAAAACGATATTTATTCATAAAAGCTACTTAAAAGCATATTTGTATCGTCCAATATTTTGTACTTTAAAGACCTCCACGTTTTGGGAGCGACGTCAAAATAAACAATAAATCATTTTGTATTGCATAAATAAACAATAAACCAAATTCAAAAATACAAAACATATTCAATTAATTAGTTTGCAAACTGTACTTATTCATTCAAAAATATCAGCAATATAACCATAGTCGCTTAGCACCTATTGATTCAATTCTATCATTCGAATAATTATCAACTATTAATCTACATAATGTAAAATTTTAATTCACGAATTGAATTGTTGTGCATTTACAATTGCCATCAATAATCACCATTTACATTACAAGAATTATGCCGTCTAGATGGCGCTAATAAACTGTCTATACTAACATTATAAAGAGGCATTATTTGTTTTTTTTACATTGAGCTTAGAAATTATAGTACTGATTTTAAAAATCATTTCATTCCCTAGAAGCTATATCATACGCGGCTAACTCAGGCTTATATTTAAGCAAGCAAAGTTGCAAGAAAAGAACTAAGTAGTATTTAATAACATGCTGAATCCTTCCTACTTTTTCTGCTATGTTAGCCTTTACGATTGTTAACATTACCCATCACGCAACGTCAACTTCAATTTAACGCAAATATGGATTTTTTTATTACATGACTCACAACATGTAACAAGATTTTTGTTTCATATCTCCAAATTCCGTTTTGAATATAATCATTCAGCACAACGAGATCTCCGCTTTGGTTTCTCATTCATCACTTCATTTATCATAAGTGAAACTATTTATATCTCATTCTGCGCGCTGACTCGCCTATTCGAACTTCAAAGTTCAGCGTCACTGAGGCCAAGGTCATTGGCAAGAACATAGTCTAGTCAATTTCAGAACTACCTACTTACATTACCTGAGTATCGTAAGGTAACGGCAAATTTTTAGAAAATAAAAACCGTGCGACTCAACTGATAAAAATGTTTACAGTAAGAACCTGTTGGCGTTTTTTGTTACTGTTCTAAGCACGAGTATTATCCTTTGCTTTCTAAGCGCCGTTGCATGCGATAGACCTATTGATAGTAGCTCTTCCATGCTATTTTATACCGCCAGGACATCTTGAAGATTCGCAATTCGGGTTCACTGAGTTTGTCGTTTATATTTGGACGTAAGTAAAATTCGCAAGGTCTGAACGACTCAGTAAATCTACACACCTTTAATAGGCATATTCAAGTATCTGTCGTCAGACAGAGGGAGCTGGAGCATTAACATGGACAAAGCTTCTAGAGCGCTACTACATTTTTCAAAATAAATGGTAAACAATGACCGTCTGCAATAGATACCAGTAATACCATTTATTATGCAGATTGTCTTTTAATTTCAGGTTCGTAAAAATACCTCCAGATATCATCACCTCTAACACATTTGGTTCATTTCTGTCATAAGCAAGCTTTGAGCTGAACCAACCAAATTTATTGAGATTTCATCTTCCGTCGAATTTTCAAGTGTCCAACTAGTACAAAGCTTTCTAATATCTTAGTTGGTGTAAAACTTTGTGCTCGACTCTTACCGATACATAAGCTTGCCTGAGTCGGTTGATATGTCAGTTTTCTTTTGGCTTCTATCATTAGCGGCACAGCACTCAAGTTATCTTCAGTGCTCGCCGTAGAAGGACATCTTTCTAGCGAATCGACAAGAGTTTGCTTTGACTACGTTTAAACTTATTTAACCTGTTGTTTACTATGACGTGGAATGGGGCCTCAGCATTACATGACAGTCGAAATCTATTATAACATTGCCATTGAGTAAGGTCGCTATAAAGTCGTTATAAATTATTGAGCCAAGTCTTTCTCCCGTCACAATCCATTTCGGTGCACGACAGACATTTATTGAATTGCTGCCAATCCTTTAAAACAAATGATATTGAATTCAAATCAAGATTTAATTCAATTTCGTATTTTTCACATCTTCATGTTTCAAAAACCTGCCAACTAATACTCATGATATAGATGGTTTATATATTTATGAAACTTCCATTTACGTCGGATGGTTAATATTTACAATCTACACAATTACCTCCTTTAAAATGAGTTTTCAGGTTTTTGGAAGTCAGTTTAATTTTACCGAAAACTAGCATTCCGCCTATCGGGAAGCGACTTTGTTATATTATAAACTATGTTAAAAAAATAGATTTTTATTACGTCAAATTGTCATTCTATTTTCAATCTCTGCACAACTAAATCTAGTACCGAAATAATTACTGATAACAATGTAACTAAAGATCTTGGCAGGCCGACATCACAGGTGTCATGTGCTTGGTGAAATGATGTCTCGGTATGCGTTAAAGCGAGCTAAAAATACGACAGTTTTACGACGCACGCTTGCACCGCGCTGTCTGTTTCGTTCGTTCGCAAAATGTTGTTATCGCCTTTTTGGGTAAATAGTATTTATATCGATATATACATACTTTTTATGCAAAATAAAAAAATATTGAATATACGACGATAACCGAAGTCGTGTTGCATTTTGACAGTTCAATCAGGTCTTCGTGTGACAGAACTGTAATTCAGATCCATCAGGGTTTCCCTACCTAATCACTTAATCAGTGTCTTAATTGCGACGTACAAAAAGAAAAAAGCACAAACGTGTTTTTAAATCTGACTTTATGTGAAAAAAATCATCAGCGGATTTTTTTAAGCAAATATGAATAGTAAGGGAGTAGTAAATATGCTGATGACCTACTATTACAACTCTGACCTTCCCACGGAAGGCGACAAAGATGTTATACGTTTTATGTCATTTACAGTTTATGAAACCATAATTTTCTATTTGTAACTAATAATGAATTCATGAAAGTTCAAACAATTAAAAAACTATACGAGATAGTCGAGCTCGTTGATGTCTTCTTTACGTAATCATCGAATAATATGTTAATCGATAAAAAATATAATGAAATTTTATGTTTTTTTTTCCAAACACCTTTGATTATGTGTTCAAATTATTTATATTTTTGCAAAAAAAGCACAATAAGATATCACTATTAATTTCTCCAAAAACATAAAAGTAACCTCTTTTTAAAAAGTTTTCGTTCAATTCCTACATATTAGAGGTTAAAGTATGAAATTGCCGTTTTATTATAAAATATTCCTTGAATTGACTTAGAACCTTCTTGGTTTGAGGTTTTCGAAATAAAGTTTTTTCACATGGTTGTCTATGATGTTCTTCTTTTAATAAATGTGAAACATTTGAA